TACACACATATATGTTTATATATGTGTATATCTGTATGTGTATATATGTGTATATATACATCTACATACACACACACACATATATATATTTATAGTGTTTTGTATGAAGGCTCCCTTATATCAGAGAGAACATATGATATTTCTTCTTTTGGAACTGGCTTATTTTGCTGAGCATAATGGTCTTTAGTAGAGACCATTTTATTGCAAATGGTAAAATTTCATTTTTTAATCACTAAGTAATATTCCATGGAATAGAAATACTACAGTTTTTTAATCCGTTCCATTTTGAAGGGCATCTGAATTGTTTCCGTGTCTTAACTATTGTAGATTGTGCTGCTATAAATATAGGGTTGAAGTTTATTTTTAATATGTAGATTCTACTTCCTTTGGATATATTCCCTGTAGTGGGATAGCTAGGTCATATGGTTGATCTATTTTCAGGTTCAAACCCTTTTTTTGTATACTACTTCTCTCCTGTGTCCTATTTAATACATCACTGATATTCCTCCACTTTTTCTATTTTTATATATTACAAATCTATGGTTGTGTCCTACAGTACAGATTTTACCATGACGTACCCATGGATGAGTGTTTTACACACAGGATAGCCAGCATTCCTCTGGATGTTTTGAATTTCTTTGATCATATAGGAGTTTTCTTTATTTTTTAAAAGGTGTATTTCTTTGATTTTTTAATTTTTAGTTCAATAATGGTCTTTCTACTCAGCCACTACGTTTTTGTTTTTGTTCATTTTCATCTTACTTCAAGTATCAGAACTCTTATAGGCTCTTAAATCCATATTATTTATCAAAATTTTATTAGCGATCTCAGACCATAAGTACTCCTTTAAGTAATGCCTAATTTGCTAAATTCCAAGATAGGTTTCACAGCCTTTATCATATCCCAATTTTTGGGAAACTGATGCATAAGCTATTTTGTCTGTTTTTGTAATCCTATAAGACCTTGCATTTCATAAATGTGTGACATGATGTTTGGAACATTCGTGAAACCTGATACATGAAAGCTACAAAATAAATGCAGGTGTAGTGAATTGATGTTGAATCCAATCAACCACATGGGCTTGCTTCCTAATGTGTCCTCACTTACTGCCACTTGCACGAAGTCTTATCTCTTGCTGCGTAAATATGTCTCTACAGCTCACTCCTGCTTTGCATAATCATTCAACCTCTTTCAACATGTCTTACTCCTCTTCTTTCATAAGGAATGATAAGACCTTGTCTGCTACCTTATCCTTATAATTAGGACATTCAAACCTGTAAATTAATAGTTATCTTTCTACTGCCTTTTATTTTTAATTCTCACTCACACCCCTGTCACAATGCCTGGAATACTCTCTTGATGGTTCATCCTTCAATAATTAGTCTAGTCTGTAAATATGCATGTCTTCCTCCTTTGAAAGAGCTGAAGGACTAACTATTGCTCATCCACAAGTTCTTTTGCATTCTTATTTTGGGTAGACCAGTGTGCATTTACAAGGCAATGCGATTGTTAACTACATAGAAATATAGATTTCAGGCACCTAAATTCACCAAATGTCCTTATGGCCTTAACTTTGAGGCTCACGGTGGAACTGTAAGTTTATAGATCCATCCTAAATACCAGGTTGAGAAGGCTCCCTGGAATAGTTTGCTTTCTTTGAGCTGCTCACTTATTGACTGTAAGGTTTCTCATTCTTTTCATGCATTCTTCATTATCTGGGAATGTTTTTAAAGCTGGTAGCTAAGTCCCAAACTGAATGCCGATTCATTCAGTTTAGGTTGGGGCCAGGTATTGTCATTTCGTTTTTCTCAGATTCTTCTGGATTCTGAAACTGATCTTAAAAACCATCAAGGAGTCAGCATGATTGCTCAACTAGCTAGTACTCCGACTTCTAGAACCGATACCCCTGTGAGCACTGGATCCTGTCCTGACTGCTCCACTTCCCATCCAGTTCCCTGCTTGTGGCCTGGGAAAGCAGTGGAGAATGGCCAAAAGCCTTGGGACCCTGCACCCACATGGAACACCCAGAAGAAGTTGCTCTCTCTCTCCTTCCCCCCACCCCTCTCTTTTTCTTAAGTAAATAAAATAAACTTTTTGAAAAGCACTGTCAAAATAGAATAGAAAAACATAGACACACATAGAGCAAATCAGTCATTATATATCACAGAATAATGGTGTTTATGCTTTTCTCTATAAGCAGCCTATCATGTTGTTTTGCTATTTCATCATTGCTTTGGGCAGAATAAGCCTTCAAGTACAGACTCTAACCCTTACATACATTTTGTTTGCTTGGTTGTTAGTGCTTTTCTTTTTTCTATTTTTCTTTTTTTTTTTTTAATTTTTGAATCAGAGAGACAGTTAGGGAGCCAAGCTCCCATTCACTGACACACACCCCAAACGCCTGCAACAGCAGGATACTCCAGACCCAGGAGCAGGAATGCACTCTTGGTGTCCTATATGAGTGACAGACACCCAGTTTCTTGATCCATCGATGCTGCTGCTGTGAGTGATGGGCAGAAATCCTGTCGGGGGCCGGAAGTGGGATCAGGCCCATGAAGTGTGACAGGAGAGACAGGCGTGATAATTAATATGCGAGCTTACACTTCTGCTTTATGCTTCTTTTAAAAATGAAGCAGCATTTTTCATAATTTCTTACTTTTCCTGTTTCAATTTGTTAATGAAATTTGTATAGCTTTGTATCAATTTTGAGCTTTCTTATGTTATATTTATTTTAAATGATTTGAAGTTCACTAAAATACTCTTTTAGATATATCTACATATATATGATCCATTACAATGTCTTTTTTCTTAAAAAAAAAGGTTATTTATTTTTATTGGAAAGGCAGATCAGATGTACAGAGAAAAGGAGAGACATGCAGATCCTTCAGCCACTGGTTCACTCTCCCAATGACCATAACGGCTAGAGCTGAGCTGATTCAAAGCCAGGAGCCAGGAGATTCTGCCGGGTTTCCCACACTGGTGCAGGATCCCCAGGCTTTATGTCATTTTCTATTGCTTTTCCAGAGCATAAGCAGGAAGCTAGATGGGAAGTAGAAGAGCCAGGACACACAGTAGCTCCCATATGGGATCCTGGGACTTGCACTACGATGATTTAATCATTGAGCTGTTGCATTGGGCCATATTCCTAATTCTTGAAGAGATAGTATATCTGTGTGACTTTTGGAGTTTTAGTATTATTAAAATGTTATTATTTATTAGTATTTGTACAACATCTTTGTGTAGAACAATGATTTTTTTGGAGACTGTTAATAGTTTTGGTTCTGAGGTGAAGCCAATGACACCCAATAACTACAAGTAATTTGCAGTTACTTAGGAGTAAGAAGTGGAGAACAAATCAAAATATAATATGTGCACACAAGGAAAAAGAAAAATAAATGCCTATTGATGTCTATATTGATTTATATCAAAGGTATAATATTGCAATTATATTACCACAACGAAGTGAGAGCATAATCAGTAAAAACAGAATAGTATTTCTAGTAAGTATATTGCTGGTACAGTCTAACCCATGATATATGTATTGTTTGTGCTACTAATATTTCGTAACTCCTTTGAAATGCTTCATTTCAGTGACCTATTGAAATATTAGAGAGAATATATCTTAAGTGTTTCCCATTTTATACTAAGAAGCAATTACTCTATGAATTTGTGTTTGAATTAGAATGGGAAAAGTTGATTTTGCAAAGATTGTATATACCCTATAGAAGAATATATGGAGAAAGGGTAATTACTGCCTTACATAACAAGAGAAGGGGCTAATTTGTAGGAGCATGAATTTCTCTATACCAAATCAAACTAGCGAATTAGGAAAAAGTGCTATGATAATCTTGGATTTTTCACAATATCCTACCATGTACAGTTAAATATGAACACTTCTAAAATGTGACTAGTCCCAGTTGAGAATTGAAATTGATACCATAAGTGTTCAGGTTGTAAATGAAAAAGAAAAAAGGTTGTTTACCTTTACTATTCACTTATTATTCAACATGACCTTATGCTTCATAGTAGAAAAAAACAGTAGGAGTTATAAATTTTGAAAAAAGACAGACTTACGCCACTTCCAATTTGTGGATGAGTTTAATGTTTGCAATTATTGCCAACAGCCTCACACAGACATTAGAGAACATTTTTAAGTTGTTTTCCCTAATCGCTATTTTTATGTAGTCCTGTCAATACGAAGCATTAGCTCATTCCATTTTGTGGTTTAGATAATATGCAAATTACAGACACAATAAATCCTCAATCCATATGTTGTCAGTAGCTTAGCAAACATTGAACTCCTGCTACACAGTTCTGTGTTAGTTTTACTTCAAGTTCAAGGCAACACATGATTTCATTCTTTGATCTAATTAAAGATATCATGCACATATAGAATTAAATGTTTTATTTTGCATTGACTTCTTAAGGAAACTTTCACCTATTATGTCAAGGTGACCCTTACGATTGAGAGTCAATGGGTAATGTTTTTGTAATGATGACGAAATATATTGCAACTTTCTAGCACTGCATCAAAAGTTTTAGGTCTCAGGTGTACTTTTAATCATTAACTGTAAGTACATTGGATTTTAGGGCACTGTATCATATGAAAAAAGAAAACATTTAAAAATGGAGTTTTCTTAGAATGGAATGTTTCATGTCAAGTCACTGATCATTGTTTTTTTTAAGTATCTACTTGTGAGAAACCTATTTAAAGAGTGCACAACAGAGTAAGTTTTAATATGTGGAATTAATAACAGAGTTAAGTGTGTTTTGATGAATCTGCTATTATCTATTTCAGAAGGGGACTTTTTACTGTTTCTTTAATGTCATTTACTATTTAGTCATTGCCTTAGATAATGAAATAGATTTTGACCTGTGTAACTCTGTAATATTGAATTGGTTGTCAGTAAGCCTTAATGTGTGTAACTTATGTGTTATTTTGAAGTAAGACCATTGCCAATCTTGTACTTTAGTGACATTCAGAATCTCTTCTCTTGCAGCCGTTTCGTAGAGTGACGTTTTCTGTTGTGAGTCAGCCTCAGGACCCACATCAGGGCTCACTGCAGAGTTGCTATGACAGCGGGCTGGAGGAGTCAGAAACACCAAGCAGTAAGAGTTCATCAGGGCCAAGACTGGGTGCCCTTCCACTCCCAGAGGACAACTATGAAAGGACCACGCCGGATGGCAGTGTTGGTGAGGCAGAGCATATGGAAAATGGTAGGGGCAAACACAACATCCACACACATAATCACGCTAGGAAGCCATACTCTGTAGACTCATGAAGGTCAGTCCAAAACCAAAACCAAGAGCTGACACCAAGACTATGTTATTTTAAATAATAACTATTTGCGAAAATGCAGAAATGCCAAATAAAGGAACATAACTGTATAGATGAAAGACACCAAATTTGCATCATCACTTTAAAATGGCTTGTTAGAAATAAATGGATTTTGAAGTAAGTCAGAGTAGTGCCTGCTATGAAAAGCTCTAAATGAGTAAACTATTTCTAACCCTTTCACGAGAAAGGATGTTCTGATCGTTACTCGTGTTCATTTTTGTCATGCAACTATTTCTTCAACTATAAGCATCCAATCTAAGTGAAAAGAGATGGCAGGACACACACCTGGATTGGAAGCTTCGTTTTCAAAAATTTGGAAAGGCATTCTCAAGCCTCTTCTTCTAAGCGAGACCTGAAATAGCGTAAAGCCGGAGAACAGCGTTTTCTTGTTCTCCATAGTATACAGCTCATGCTACTTGAATTCCCTTCTCACTTAAGTGTAAAGCGTCCATATTTTTGTGCAAGAGAGAGGAAGGAAACCCATCATAATATTCTGTAAGTTCGGTTGAGAGAGGATTCTCAGCATACCACAATAGGCCTTGTGTACATTTTCCTTTGATTGTAATGTTAGATTGAAAATTGCAGTGTAAAGCTGTTCACATATTCCCAAAAATGATTGGTGATTTACTTTCTCAATTTCAAGCCATAATTAAATGTTTGAGGAATGTATTTGTATCATATAACAGAATTATAAACTTCTTCCCAACTTCATTATTATTACAAATATCAAAAGAAGATACATATAGGGAGAGAAAGAACAATCATGCACATTTTTATCTCTAATGAAAACTCAAAATGGATTGTGTCTTTCACCATACCAATCCCTAAATGATATGGGACGTTTTAAATTTTACCAAATAAAATGGATATAAAGCACACTATAGAGCAGAGAAAAACACTTTTTCTGGAAATTTGCCATGAGTATTTCTAACATGAGAGAATAATGTTGTAAATATACCCAAGTAAAAGTACTGATAAATTATGCTAAATATTTGCATTGTTTTAGGTAAGAAGATGTGACATCAGCGTCTGATGACCGATGTCCACCCTGATTAATTAGCAGAGTTTAGTTGGCATTTTGCCTCCTGGCTATAAAGGCATGCTTATCTGTGTGTATGGTGGTGTGTGCTTACGTGGATGGGAGTTTGATGTGACTCTAAGGATTTAACTATCTTAGAAAAGTTATGAAATGAGTATAAAGTTTTTGTGTATTGTATATATTTATAGGGAAAATATGTTTAAACCACTTTGAACAAAATAGAATTCACATTGAAGGTACTGTAAGTATACATATATGTGCATATATATGTATACATATCACATACTAGTAAGCCTTAGGATTTATTTCATTAAGATGAATTACTATATCCTTTGATAACAGATCAGTTAATTTTGTTTTGAAAAGTTCTCAAGTTTACTATAAACTACAAAATGCACAATTAATTATTTTTAATATCAGATATAATCATCGAAAAGATTTTGTCCCACTAGCATTGTAATTACATTTTCATATTGATTCTGTTTTGTGAATTTATATGATGGTTCAACACCTTTAAAATAAGAAGGAAATGATGAGTCATGAAATCATAATTATATGTGACAAATTGTTTACTTTTTAGGAACTGTACTAGTTATGAGAAACTTAAGTGAGTTTAATAAAAGAACAGATACAGAGTTTACTGAGAAACCTATCCCCCAAAAGGTGTCTTTTTTTTTCTTTTAATGACCATATTTAGGTTCATTCAGTAGCAATGGCCATCATAATGTAACTAACTTTTTCTAATTATACACGTGACTGACATTTGAATTTCAGTTTTGATAAACATTTGTCACCTGCTGGCCGTGACTGTTGTCAGCCCTCTCCGATAGGTAATAGTACAAGGAAGTGTCACACATGGTGGGTAATCCAAATGCAGCCATTGACATCAGAGTAAAGTTTTATTGAGTTTAGTTTTTCAGACTACTCATTTAAGTGTAAAGTGCTATTATATTGGTTAAATTAAGCTAATTTCATCTTCAATATTAATGGGTCATTCTGCTTTAAATAGAATTGGAATTGAAACCTTTCAAGTATTCATTTGTCACATTTAACTTGAATCCTGGTAATCTGCACTGTTTTGCTTGGTTGGGTTTTAATCAGAATTTGTATTGGATTTTCACTTGGACTTCCCACAAAAATACAATTTTGGATGCTGTCCTAGTTCCTCTTATTATTATCCCCAATATTTTCCTTTACTTTAGTCTATGTGAAACAATCCAGTTAAAACTCTCTGTTTGGGATTAACTTTCATTGAAAAGATTAGAAAGTTTCCAAACCAGTAACATATAACTCTAACATCTTGGCACAAGGCAGGGATATGTCATGATAAAAGTAAGATGTCACAGATGCTATGCAAAAAAGTGACTAAAATAAGAAAATGTAAATAAATAGTGAAATTTGTATACCTTGGTGAAATTACTTTATCTTCTTTTGTGATTTATCACAATAAACACAATTTCATTGAGGCAGCTTAAAGATATAATTCTATTAATGAGCTTGATCCTGTATTCCAACCTACATGGCTGCCAAATAAGGTATGAGGTTTCATTTTCTTATTATCTGGGGAAAAATAATCTGCCATAAAAATAGAGGTAATTTATTAAAAAGCACAGCTGATAATGTAGATAATGTAGAATAAAAGCAACCGATTTGAAATTTTAAAATTTGTCGTAATTATATCCTGTAGATTTCTGGAAAGTAATTATTAAAATTATACTATTTAGAAAATATTTTAAGAAAACTTCATGAATTATACATCATTATACCATAACAAAGAGCACTAATATGTAATTCTTTGTCTTAAATTAATTACCACCATGATTATTTTATGCTAATAGTTTCACAGGTAACATTAGCAGTTTGTTTTTAAATAGTTCATTAAAATAAACTCACTGAAATGACAATATTTTAAAATATGGAGTTCATGGTGGGGAATTGGTAATGTTGCTAAATTTGGTAACAAAAATGCTACAACAATTGAAGTCTATTGCAGCGAATATATAATTCATGTAAAAATCAAACATTATACTTTAAAAACACCATCATGTGAAAGGCAAAGGCTGACTACGTGAAAGCTAGTCGCTCATTGATTATCCAGTAGATTTCAGTCTCCCTCTCCTGGTGTTGAATGCTTTCTATAGAAGCGTACTAATATTCATCTGAGTGCCTGCTTTCATACTGTGGCTTTCCAAACTAGATCCCTAACGATCTATCTTTGCAGAAGTAGTTTGTTTCTGTTATATATGACTTGATTTTCCCCTAGTGCTTAATAAGCTCAGATACAGAAAATACCCCCACTTGGCATCTGTCCCACATTTTCAATCAGCATCCAGTAGGTCAAATGCTTTTCTTTTGGGTCTGCTTTTGATTATGCATAGGCAAATGAATAAATTAACTCTTATCACCTAGATTCAACAATCTGTGATTTTCCCCCTGACATCCAACTTCCTCTATATCTTTTGCTGTATATGATAGAAAGATTATTGTGTCTCATAGACACTTGTAATGTTGGAAAGCATGTGTTAATGTGGGCAGAACAGAAATAATGCTAACTCTACTTTCAGCGTGCATGTTATATGTGCATCCCAAGTACAGGGTGTGCATTTATTACATAAATTAGAGCAGTGGACTGAGTGCCTTGGTGTGATTTTCAGCCAGCTAGGTGGAGAGGTCTGCACCGCAGATCTTACCATGAAATACCATCAAATGTAAGATCTCCTTCTTCCCATAGATTAGTTTTTCCAACAGAAATAGATCTTTAAAAAAATTTAAGGACTCAAGCTTTTAATCCAGTGACTTGGATTGAACACTGTTTATTTTTTTCTCTCCCTGACTATAATTTTTAGACGTCTCATAACCTTTCTTGCCTTTTAAACATTTATTTATATTGATTTCAAAGAATTGTATAGAGACAAGAGACAGAGGGTCAGATCTTCCATCCACAGGCTCATTCCCCAGATGGTAGTAATAGCCAGGGCCAGGCCAACATAAAATCAGGAGCCACCAGCCTCATCTGGATTTCTCAGATGGGTGCATAAGCCCAAGCACTTGAGCTATCTATTGCTGTTTTTCTAGGTGCAATAGCAAGGAGCTGGATCAGAAGTGGAACAACCAGTTCGAATTGGCACCGATTATTGGAGGGATGCTGACATCATAAGCTTTGCCACTTGATCCAAGATGCTGATCCCAGCTTACTCTGTACAATTAAAAATCATGTGATCATGGGTGAAACCAAGTGCGATAGTAACACTTCTTTCATGATGATAATCATGATTATTTCTAGTTTTATTTGCCTTTGACAAACACACTGTTTTAAGCTATGTAGCAATCATAAAATGTTAAGGTTTACCAAGATAGTATTTAAACATAAACAGTGAGAGGGGTCTAGTGCATTAGCTTAGTGGCTAAATCCTCACCTTGAAACTGCTGGGATCCCATAATGGGCACCAGTTCATGTCCTAGCAGCTTCACCTCCCATCTAGCAGTATAGAATGGCCCAAAGCCTTTGAAACCTGCACCCATGTGGAAGAACTGGAAGAAAATCCTGGCTCTGGGTGGACTTTCTCTGTGTCTCTGTAAATCTGACTTTCAATGATAAATTAATAAATCTACATTTGTGTTTTTAAAAGTGAGAGTAATATTCTTTCTTTGAATACCTTCCAGTCAGCCCCATGGGAATATTGCTCTGGCACAGTGATTGGCATAGCAGGATCCAAAGTGAGTGGGAGAAAGTTGGCCATGTAATGTCAAATCAACACAGTCCTCTGCAGTCTTCAACATCAGAGATGGGGAGGTGACATTACTTTTATACAATTCTTTCTTCCTTTTGGGGAGAATTTT